AGCTATGCAGCTCTTTGCCGCAGGCAGGCTGTTTGTCATCGAGTGAATAATGCGCATTCGCAGTTTTTCTTGGGGAAACATTCTAACTACGCATGCTTATACAGCAGATTCTCAGTCAGAAAGCATAACGGTCGTACATACAAACAAGCAGAATAATAGTATAGATAGTTTATTGTCTTTTACAAATTGGGATGAATATACATAACAAACCTTTTTTTAAATGAATAAAAAGTCATTTAGAAAAGTATTAATGAGTGAAGATGACATCGGATAGAAATATATCTAACCTGTATAAAAGTCTCTGTGTGTCACGTCACTTCACGCTTGATTTCTCAAAATAGGAGTAGTCATGAAAGCCAAAATGAATTTATCCAGATAGAATACTTCAATTACTGTCTACCTATTATGATTTTAGCGACGGGAGTGCAAGAGGGGCCATGAAACCTTACAAGTGAAGTGAATGTTTGTATAATAAAGACGTAGTGTGGGATCACCTAGCCCAGAGCTATTGATTCAATTTTAACTTAAATCATTTCTGAATTAAGTTATTTTCTGTTATATCAACAACGTTTTTAATAAAAAAAAAAACCTCTTTAATCATTGGAGACTCCAATTTTAGAAATCAATAAAAAAATTTCCAGTTTTATTGTCTATACATTTCATTTTATACTTTCAGTACATAGACTAAGAACAATATGATATAAAAGCTATTGTTGGAATGTAGTGTTCCCAAAATGCACTGGCTTTTCTATATATTAGAAGATGTTAATATAATTGATTTTTACCAATAATTATTCTATGAATACACCACAAATTTATTTCATGAATGATCTTAATTTTGATTGGCTCACAAAGGAATTTATCGATGTTTGACTGCCTCAACTGCACTTTTCTGCCTCTTTGTTGATCAAGCTTGATTTTGCAAACTTTATTTATTTCTGTTAGCTATGAAATGTGAGGTTAGGTTATACTATGGGATGGGGGTGGTAGTACTTGCCCCGTCATTTTTGATGGGCAATATGCTAGTATATATATATATATATATATATATTGATCATCCACATAGTAATAATTACTGATCCTAATTATGTAAAAATAATATTGTAAGAAGGAGGTAATTTATGGCTTAACCTTTTTTTATTCTTTCAAAATATGGTATAGTTTGAAGATTATATGTTTGATTTTTAATTAATTTATATCATTGGCATGAACACAAAATATTTGGGTATGTAAATAAATATAATGAGCAAGTGTATATTTGCAAATATAAAGCAGATTGGTTAAGTTCAGCTTCAAAGTACATTGTTCATGATTTATTAACTTAACGTATTTGACAAAGAATGTTTATGAAGTGCGAAGAACGATTTAAAATGTCTTTTTCCTGAGATATATACTACATATCCTTGCATACCTGGTAGCTATGTCACTGATCTATGTGAATGGATGGATGGTAAAGAACATCATAAAATTACAACTCAAGTAGATGGTCTTGCTCTAACATATTTTAATAATTATAATAGAAACCTTTAAGCAAAGAAGAATTTCAAACTAAGAGCTCTCAGTACAAATGATAAATAGTAGCTTACTTTAGACAAGCTATATTATCATAGTGTAGATCATATAAATGACAATTTTTTAAATAATCAAACTGAGTATACATAATTATTGTTGCCTACTAGGTAATAAATAGTTGCATTATTTATAACCTGTGTTACGAAAAGTATTTAATGTTTGTCACTAAACTAAAATAGGCTTGTAGGTATTTATAAGTTGCAGTATATTTAATGTTTATTTATGGGCTTAAATATAAATTATTGTGTATTTTCTGAGTGTTGTGTGTATGGCAGTGCTAAGTATTTTTCAGTTGCATATCTTTGAATACATAGCACAAGCTCTTTAACAAATTACCTTTTCAATGTATTGGTAATTATTTAATTAGTAAAACATTCACTATCTGTGATCGAAGTGCTAGTTTCTTCTATATTTTGATTCTTAGTGATACTTCGATCAGTGATAATGGTAATTTCTCCAGTATTGATTTCATTTTCCCGTACAAGTCCTGGAAATTTCATCTTCTAGACCTTGAAAATCATGAAATTTGAAAAAGATGAGATTCATTGCCTAAATTATTTGTAATGTACAGTAAAGGTTCATCTGAAACAGTTATTTTCAAACCTTTCTCTTTCCATTTCATAAACTTTTTTTAAGTTTCCCAATTTTTCATATAAAAATGTCATGTTATAGCAATGCAGCTGTGTTGATCATATTCATATTGTGTGCTAGGCATAAGTACTTGACCTAGCAAAAGCAATTTCTGTGATAGCAGTATTATCGTCTTTCATAAGTTGGATAGGGAGCTTCTGGAATGGAGGTTATAGTTCCTTTTCATGTGCACGTTTTTTTACTTTTATAAGCAACTTCTGAGATATATGTATGGTATAATTCTATTTTAAGTGCATATTTGCTTTTCACTAATGTAGGCAACTTCTGAGATTCATAGTATAGCTTCCTATGATCTGCACATTTTTTTTACGCAATCTAGTCAATTTGTGTGATAGTAAGGTAGTTTTCTAGTCGGTACATTTTGTGTGGTAAGACTATTTTTGCAGCAGTAATTCTTGTCTGCATCTTTTTTTGTTGTGTATGACATGTATATCAGGGATAGTAAAACAATTATTTCTGGTCTGTATATTTGTTGTGTGCAATAGAAAATTTCTTTGATAGTAATATGGTTCTCTTTAATCTCAACACTTACTGTTTTGTGATATACATGGTTTCTGTAAATTGTAAAATATGTTGTCTGGTCTCAAAATGATATCACTTTTCTAGAGGGTTTTTTTTTCTTTAGTTCAAGCTCATGTTAGCAGAAGATGGAAGTGGAAAAGGAGCAGGCCTGGTTGCAGCTATCGCTGAACGTTTGAAAGCACAGAAACATAAAACTGAAGTCTAACATTTTCACTTTGGAATAATTGTTTTTAGAACACATTCAGTGGCTTTGAGTTTCGGCGAACTATCATTGGGGTTTTATATTATAGCATTATTTTAAAGAGTTTATGATGTTTTATACATTTTTCAAAGATTGCTTGTTAAAAATATCCATCCAGTTGCACTTTTATTTCTCACTTTGCTTTTTGATATCAGACAGTTAAATATATTAGTGGTTATAAATATAAAAAAAATAATCAAGAATACAAAGAAGTTAAAAACTTAAATACTACATGGAATTGCATGTTGAATGTGAAATTACATTTTGATGAGATTATAAAATATTTTTGTATTTAATTTCTAACATATAATTGTTTAAGTAATACATTTTTTACAATGTGATAAATAAATAAACATATTTTGTTTTGAAATTGTTTTCAACTTTTTGAATCATTTTTCACTTTGGAATAATTGTTTTTAGAACAGTTTCAGTGGCTTTGAGTTTCATTGAACTATTATTGGGGGCTTTATGTTATAACATTATTTTAAAGAGTTTATGATGTTTTATACATTTTCCAAAGATTGCTTGTTAAAAATATCCACCCAGTTGCACTTTACTTTTTGATATAAGACAGTTAAATATATTGGTGGGTATAAATATAAAAAAATAATGAAGAATACAAAAGAAGTTAAAAACGTAAATACTATATAATACTTTGTCTCTCTCTATACTGGGAGTAAACAAGATAAATCACCTTATTACTTCATGTTTTGAATCATTTCTGGACAAACAAAGCCTCAGTAGACCTCAACCAAATGTTTCACGTTTTATCACTGTGTTTTACATTATTTCATTTGTTCAGTTAAATAAATGTAACTTGATTTTATAGAAATATCCTAACTGAGTAATTTACATGAGATGTTAATTTATTTAAATATCGGTATTGGGCTTATCTGTAAACAGCATAGATTGCTAAATTTAATGCTTTAGTGTGTTATAATATGGGTGAAGGACTTGACTGTAAAGAGTACATATTATTACACTTAACAGTTAACCTGCCACATGTAGAAATTTGGTGATGAATTTAAGTGTAAACAGCATAGATTACTACATTTAATACATCACTCTATTGGAATATGGGCCCGACATGGCCAGGTGGTTAGGGTGCTCTTATCTCAATCTGAGGGTTGCTGGTTCGATTCCCCATCCCACCAAACATGCTTGCCCTTTCAGCCGTGGGGGCATTATATAGTGACAGGCAATCCCACTAATCATTGGTAAAAGAGTAGTCTAAGAGTTGGCAGTGGGTGGTGCTGACTAACTGCCTTCCCTCTTGTCTTGCACTGCTAAATTAGGGATGGCTGGTGCATATAGCCCTCGTGTAGTTTTGCACGAAATTCAAAACAAACAAACAATCTATTGGAATATAGGTGCTAAGTTTAGTTTCTGTATACCATATTGATAACACAGACTTTGAGTGTGGATAATACCGAACATATTCAATATACAACAGTTACTACATACTGACATGAGAAGCATATTGATAACACACACTTTGAAAGTGGATAATAGCAAACATATTCTACATAGCACAGCTACTACATACTGACATGAGAAGCATGTTAATAATATAGACTTTTAAAGATGTTACCAAGCTCTTTTTATTCAGCACAGCAATTACATAATGATGTGAAAAGCATATTGATATCTCAACCGGAAATGGCTCTCTTAAACATACTGTCAAGCATAATAACATTGTGACACAAGTGGCATACTGATAACATATTGATGGTTATCTAACACATGGCATGATATCGTTTGGTCCGTTTAAGTCTAGAGTTGCAGTTTTATGTTTAGTTCCACATTATGGTTCTTTTGTTAATTCTTCTAAATTCAAAATAAAGTGATAGTAGCAACTAGTTTATAGGTATATCCCCTCAGTCTTTGGGCTTGAGTTGGTACTATGGTAGAGCTCTGTATTTTGAAGATGGCAAACTGGGTTTCATTCTGTGTGATGCCACGTAATATTCCCAGTACTTTCAGATGTGGTGTATTATAATGGTGATCATTAGTTCAAGATTAAGGATAGCAGCAAACAGGGCCAGGCGACTGCCCTGCCAGTACAAATAGACCCTCATAAAAATTATTGATCAATGAATACAATCCTAATAACATACTTAAAATTACCCTCTAGTTTCTCTATGATTCTTTAAGTCCTATTTCTACATATTTTGCATATGTGTGTATACATTGAATTTTATCAGTAGTATAGTTGAAGTGGGGTGAAAATGTTGAGAATTTGGCATGTGAAGTCAATTAAGAGAAAAACAAATCAAATAAAAGAGGATGAAAAATGTAGGAAATGTATAGGGCAACAATGCTTATTCTGCCCGGGGCACCATTTTGGCTAAGGTCGGTTCTGGCAGCAAATGTTAATAGTTTCAACTGTAACAAGTTTCTGCAAAAGACACCAAGGTTAATCTTAAATTTTACATCTTTACAAACTTTTCACAGGCCCTCATTCAAAGACCAAGTTTAATTAGACTGAAGGCTCAAACGCCATTGCAGCTTAGTCAGGGGGCTTGACATGTATGTAGTCTAGTGAGATTACTGTGATTCTAGTTTTTCGTTCATTTTTCTTTCATTAAAAACGACCTTTGATTTAGAAATTTCACTGGAAGCTTCAGAACGTTTGGTTTGTTAAACTTTCTTAACTTAAAAGTCTCGTTTATTATCTTGTTAATTATGTGAAGATATTTGCTCAGTCTCATTGTGAAAGCTTTTGGGTCTTAGAGTTCTTTTTCGTAATCTTAGCCTTAATTTTGCAGGTGTGAGTATTGGTCAGAATTAGCTTAAGACGTAGTTTTGGAGCCTGGTGTACCTTACTGGAATTTTCTACAGCTATGGAGAACATTGAGAAATGTTGTGTCCTGTGGTTCTATTGTTCTATAAGTATTTATATTCACAAATATCTTTTTACATACACTTCCAATCATTAGTCTATTCGTAACGTCAAATTATTGGGAATTCATGGTAAATCAAATATACCAGAGCTAACTTGAATGTGATGTTGCCATGGCTTGCATCTGCTGCGACACGCCAGTATATCAAAGTATACAAGTCATTCAAATATAGTTAATTAACCCTCTTTGTTTCAATGCCATTTTTTTGAATATCGGTTTAACAAACAAATAGAACATTCTTTAATAGATCTCTTTAATTTTTTACATTTTTTAATTAAGTAATTTTACTAAGGATTTGTCTGTAAATATATGGAGTCAGAGGGTTGAATGCTCAGAGTGCAAAGTGATTTTTAGGTTGACATAAAAATAATTTTCTTAATATGAAAGTTTCCAAATTTAATTTATGTAACCTCTAGAACTTCCTAAATAAGCTTCAAACGTTTTTGTTTTCAGTAAAACTTTCCATTTTATCTACCTTATCTCCATATGGATTTGGTTGATTTGAATGACCTTGTAATAACCAGGAAAAAATACGAAATCAAAATTACTTTTTTTTCTGTCTAGAATGACTGCAGATTGTAACAGAAAAGAACAATTGTTCATCCTAAATAGCTTAAGGCTCTTAACAGTCTACATTTGTTTCTACTTAATTATATTATTTTATTGCTCTTTGAACCATGTGTAATCAATAATCCCACCACATAAGTTGCAAATACATAGCTCATTTTACTGTATTGAATGGCGTAATGCACAAGTTTCTTGCAAGCATACCTCATGAAGAATTATTACATTCTTCACTATCTTACCTAATCTAAGTTAATAAGTTTCTATTGTTTACTGTTTAGTTACTTTTATAACAATAGATAAAAATATACATGAAAAACAAGAAATATAGTACTTACACTTGACCTTTTGCTTTTTACTGTCAGTTGCTGATGAACTTTAAACTGAATTTTTATAATGATGATACTAGTAGACTAAACCATTTTTAATTACTTAAATAATGGACCTACGAGCTCAGAATAATAACACACACAAAGTAAGCAATTCCTATAACTATTATAATTTAACTGGCTTTCTAACTAAGACAAGAAAAGCTTAAAATAATTCCTTTAGTTGTATGTCATTTCTCTTGCCTTGGATCACGTATAAGCTAAGCAGTACACCAACTGTACTATATACACTGACTCTCTTAACTTTCTGTTGGCCCTGGAATTGCTTAATGTGAGTTCACACCTAGTTCTCTTACATATTTAGAAATGATTGGCCCAATTTTCTGTCATCCATTTCTATCCAGTTTTTCTGGATGCCTGGTTATATCCGTATTTATGGGAATGGGCTTGCTGACATTGCAACTTCGTCTGTCAGCTTTGGCGTTGTCACAGCAATGTCTCTCTCTTATGTGGATTACAGACCTGTGATCAAGGCACAGCTTCACACTAGCTGGCAGTTAATTTGGAGTGAACAAATTCATAACAAGCTTTTTCAGATCAAACCATTGACTGATCTGTCAATGTGTAGCCTTTCTGACACTCGGAGTACCCATGTGTTGCTTTCGTGCCATTGTTATGACTGCTAGCAGCAGCGCTATTTTAGACATGTTTTTTTCTCGGGGTTTACCCATGATGTTGGATAGTTTCATTGATGATTGTGACTCTGTCCAGATTGATCATATTTTTAGCTTTTTATGGGTCATTGGTCTTTTTCATTATATTTAATTTTTTATCTGTTTAGCTTTTAGTTTATTGTGTTTTTAGTTTTTGTCCTATTTTAAATATTTGACTTTTTTATGGTTATTTGGTGCAGCTAGCCACGCCACTTTGCGCCAATAAACTTAACCAACTCTCGCCATTGTAGCCTCACAGGCACATACCAAGTTCCATCCAGCCTTGATGGAGTTGGGGTAACCACTAAGCCCTTTTGTGCCAAGAAAACAGCACTAACTGGTGGAGGTAATCCACCAATGGCACATCAGCCTTTCTTGGCCGATCTCAGGTGGTCTTGACCAGAGCTGTTGTTATTATTGCTGATAACAGCCTAGAGTTCTATAGAGACCTCTTTATATATGGCTTCAGACTCACCAGATAATATTCCACTTCAATGAGCCTCAGTCACCCATACTTTCCTTGCAGCTAGATCAGTCATCAGGAGCAATGCCCAATCTACCATTTTGGGTACACCAGACATTGGCCAATCTTCTTGAGTCTGCGATTCCAGAGAGATCGACAACAGAGACCTTTCAACATTGAAAAAGTCCCAAGACCATGAGAGAACTTCTCCTGGGCATGAGTTCTTTTACCTACAGAAAATGCTATTCTTTCAGAAAAAAGCAATTTTTAAACTCCTCTAACTGAAGAGTTCGAGTAAAGGAAATAAGCACATTAGA